GATGTATATTTTAACTAGAAAAAGACAGTCTACTAGTCACTTTTTAAAACAATATTCGTTTCTCTTATTTTTCAACGCGAGAAGAATGAAACGGCCATCGAGTTCAACGACCTTAATCGCTATGAACCACTCCTCCCCGTTTCGGCCCTACATTGGAGTTCAACAACGCGTTTTCAAAAAAAAAAAAACAAACACACACACACACAAAGGCAATTTCAAAGAGTTAGGAAACGGGAAGGTTATTTGAACGAGCGAGCCACGCTCGATTATCGGTGACAAGTGTCAAACGTTTACACGAAACGAAACGTTATTACACGTGCAACGGGGTAATACGGGGAGGGGTTGAAAAAAATCCCGTTTGATTGACGCGTCTCCTCTCGCGAGAATGGCCACCTGTCTCTCCTCTCGAGTTAATTATTATCGATTAACGAAAATGGGAAATGAAAGAGAGCGAAGAGAAAGGAAGAAGTGAAGGGAGGGGGAAGATGAGGGGAAGGAGGGGAATCGTCGCGTTTTTCGAGTGAAAAAAAAAAGAAAAAAGAGAGAGAGATAGAAAAAAAAGAAACGTATAAAAATCCTTGCCCCCGGTCGAATTCCTCGTCTGGGACGACTTCCGGGAGGAGTCGCTTCCCCGAAAAGTACCTCTTAGCATGTTAAATGAGCCGTGGGGAATGCGACGGCCACGGTGATTCATCCTTGGCTCGATCGTGGAAAAAGTTTCGACAAGAACGAGCACCGTTACCGTAACGAATCCTTTCGACGACTCGCGTGCTGCACTTTGTTCCATCGAAACTTCGATCTGTCTTTCCAAACTTTCCAAACCTTCCCCCTTCCTTCCTCCCCTTCGTCGCGATTCTCCCGGCCGAGGAGTTTTTAAGTTTGTTGTTTCAGCCAGGATAATCGTGTATTTTATTTTCGTTAAACAATTCGTTCGCTTATCGGACAAGGGATGCGTAAATGAACGCGTAAAAATCGCGAACATGCGAAAAATTAGAAAAATTGAAATTTTGTATAATTGTTATGTATTATTTTAATTGTTATAACTTTTAATCGTTTTATATTATTCCGTTATATGTCATGGAATGATATGATAAATGTAGACAAATGTACGATATATTGTATAATGCACGAAATATTGGTTTACGTAAATTTAGGTAAATTTGAATCTTTTGGAAATATAAATTTGTAATTCATAAAATGTTGCAGTGTTATATAATTTCGCATTATAATGTATAACGTTAAGTAAAGATAAATAAATATTAATCGATATTAATCGTTATAATTGATATAAATTGTTGTGTAATTGTATTGTACGTTATTTATAAAATAAATTTTTGAATGCACCGAAGAGAATTAGTCAAATTATATCCAATAATTTCTTATCCCTTTATCGCGATACATGCATTTTTCACGAGCAATTGTAAAAATTACGATTCTCGACTATGCCCCATACGAAAATTCCCTAGGGCAAACAGAACTATAATATCGAAATAAAATTTAAAAGTAAAATCAGATGTCAGAAATTCATCACGGGTGCCACTTTTCTCTAATTAAATATTCTAATGAAACTTTCTCGCTCGACTTTGAAATACAGTGAAAATGCTTATTTGTTTTTTCTGCACATGAGATTCGCATTAAAAAAAAAAAAAAAAAAAAAAAAAAAATAGAGAAAAATAAAAAAACGAAGAGAAGAGAAAAAATTAAATTAAAAGAAATTTAATTAAATATCGCGTCATTTTGACTTTAAAAATAAAAGAATTTAAAAAAAAATTGTTACACGTGTGTGCATATATATATATATATATATATAGCGCGCATCAAGTTTTATCATTTTATCATTTTATAATGCGAACAACATTTTTTTATATATTTGTGAGAAAATAAGGCACCGGTGTTGTACAAATGTAAAATTTCCACGGCACGGATGTTTCATCGCTTAAATGCGGAATGACTACGTACATTTCTGTTTTCCAAGTTAATTTGAAAGCCATTTCTCGGAAATACGCGTTCGATCGTATCGATCGAAGAATCGCACGTTTAATTACCCGCTATTAATTCGTACAACTATTTCCACTCGTCGCAAAGGGGAATGGATCGGCGATATAATCCCCGCTGTCCCTGTTTCATATCATTACCGGTAATTTTACAAATTGCATCGCATTTTTCTGCCGGATCGTCGTTAAATATTCCCAGAATTAATTGGCCGTGCGCGCGTTTAATAATGTAATTTTTAAATTAGTAACCTCAACCCATAGGCATTACCGCTAATTAAACAGTTTTTACCGGGATCCGCGGGGTCGACTCTCTCATTAGCAATATTTATTATCGAAATTATAAAAAGCTTCTTCCTTTAATAGCCTCGACCAAAATATTTCTATCGATCAAGCTAGTTTCACTAGTTATTGACCGTTTCTACTTGTCCACTCGATTATCGGCCGGAATGAAAGAAGAAAGTTGGAACAAGTGACGCCTCCGTTCCCCTTTGTATCTCCTAGCTTCAAGAAAAGGAATGTTAAAATAAAAGACTCGAATATAATATATTTTCCATCTGACACGATAAAAGAGTTTAAAATCTCAAAAATTTTATCCTCCACTCTTGTTTCCAGATCGAAACGATTCTGATCAACGGATCAGGAAAAGCAAAATTTCAAAATCGCTACGTCTCGAAAAACTCGTACATGGAACATTTATCATTTCTTCGATCGAAAGTATCGGAAGAAGTATTTTTCATATTCTACGCTACTCGGCCGAAGCCTATTTCCAAGGTTTCCCGGTCAGACCTGATTTCGAACGTCTGACACACTGGTATCGGCCTGTTCCACTTTCGCAAAACGCTATTCGATTCAAAAGCAATCTGTGCGTGAAATTGGGAGCGAGAGCGGACGGACGCACGGCCGAGCGGACAGACGATGAAACGAATTACTTGTGCGCCGGCCCGGCGGCCCACCTTGTAACAGCTTGCTAATTAATCGATTAATTTCCAATCTCGGGATCAGACGCATAAGTGCACTTCCCTGCTCGTTCGCTTCCCACTTGCTTTGTGTCGTAATAGGGATGCGTCTCTGATCGCCATAGCTTCATAACATTTGTCCGAGTCGGCGAGGAAAATTTCCCTCCCGTCTGCCGTTTTATTTCGATTTTATATCAGGTGACTAGAAGAAGGTGCTTTCGTTTTTCTTGTCTTTTTTTTTTTTTTTTTTTACGATTTAATAATAGGAGGAAAAATAAATTTATAAAATTGCGCGATACGTTGATTCAATTGTGAAAAGTGTGAAACTTTAAAAATTGGATTATTTTGAAGTTGAAATTTTACATTCTGATAGTGCATAGTTGATTAATTTTGGATTAATCGCAATGTAATTGTTAATTAATTGTTAATTAAAAAAAGGGTTTGTCGTTTTAACGTTTTCTTATTTCGAGTTATTAATCAGTTCTCCGTTTAACCCGTTTGACCGACCGATATCAATATTCTAATATATTAATTATACGCGTAATATATCGGCGAATGTTTGGTTCATTGACTTGTTCGCATATTTAATTATTTGCCGATTAGGAATAATTAAATTCGATTTGCATGAAAATAATAAACGAATAAATATTAATTAAGGGATAGAGTTGTGATGAAATTACATAGAAATCTCTCGCCTTAACGCCGAATTTTCTTCGTTTTGTTACACGGTATACAATCTGTAATCGCTATTTAACAATCTACGATCTCATAGTTCGAATAGCACGACTTTAGAAACAGTAGTTACTAAAACTAAAATTGAAATTGAAATTCGTTACAAGTGAAACGTTCATCGGTTATACTTGATCTTTAATTCACGCCATCAAAAGTGTGATATTACAGGGCAAGAAGATTTAAACACTAAAAAAATAAGTATACATTAAAATTCATCGCGGTATAAATTCCAGTTCTCTCTTTCTCTCTTTCTCTCTATTTCTATGAACCATGGCCGATCTTGTATCCAGACAAAGGATTAACTCGTTTTTCTCGAAAAGAAAATATAATTTTCAACGGAAGAGCGGTCGTTGACGATTCCTTTTTGTTTTCTTCTTTCTTTCTTTTTTTTACGAGATGAAGAATAGAGAAGAAGCCGGTAACGAACGAACGAACGAACGAACGAACAAACGAACGAACGATCCATGTTGCATCATGTTTCTCGGATGAAGAGGGGGGGGGATGTGAGGAAGGGAGGGAGAAGTGGGGACGAAAGGGCGTAGCGGGTTCGAGAGATTGCTCCACCGGGAGGAACGATATATCCCGGAAAGTTGTGACATTATCCGCGCAAGGATTCACTTGGTTACACGTAGCCACGATACGCGATAAGAATCAACGCCCATTCAAAACTCGCGATAATGTTCGCAGGACGGCGCTATTGTTTCAAGGCGCGAGCCTAGACCGCAGTTATCTCCGCATTGTTCTCGATATTCATTAAAACGCTTGCCATCCTTAGCGGTGAGATACAGAGAGGACGGGTTGGTCCCTCGTTCACTTTTCAAAAGGGCCATCCAATTGTACGCGGGTATTTCATTAATATTCTCTGCGAAATACGCTGCTGTTTATAGGGGAAGAGGGAAACTGAGGGTAAACGGTTCGGGTCGCGAGAAATTTGAGGCGCGCCCCATTTTTCACAAGTTTCGTTCAAATTTTGAACGAAGATTTTACGATTATAGAGATTTTCTTGAAGATAGATTTAAACTTGTGGTGTTGTAAGAAGCGATAGAAGGAATATTGCTGGTATTTTTTACTTTCTTAAAATTTTCTAACCAGCAGAAAGTTTAAAAGTAGAGGATTAAATATATTTTACGATATATTTATTTTATATCTACATTTTTTTATTCTCTCTTCTTTTTTTCGTTTTCTCTTTCAAAAAAATTTTCTTTTCTTAGCTTCCCCAATATTATTGCATTGTTGAATTTCTCGGTTCGAAAACATTTGTACACAATTTTTTTTACGGTATTTGTCGAATAAGTATTTCCGAATATTGCAAAATGTTGACAGAATACATAATTTAAATTAAAATAAGGAAATTAAAAAATTTTAATACGGTGGCGCCATCTCGCGGATGGACGCTGGAAGCTCCGACTTGTTACTAGCATAGCAGAATGTGCAAGGAGGTATTCGTGACGTCACAGGGAAAGATAGAGTGCGAGATATTGTGCGAAAAGGATAAGATGATACGCCACCAAGTTCGATCATGCGCAGTAACGTTTTTTAATACATCGAAAACTCTACATAGAAAATTTACTAATTATTAATTTTCTACCAAAAAGTTCTGCACTTTTAAACTCGCATCTTAAAGCTAGAACCTTGAGCAAGTTTCTCATATAAATTTTAATAAGAAATTACTTTTAATTAATTATTTATTAACGATTATCATTGATAGTGTCTCAGTTGCCAAATTCTCCATCTGTAACCGAGTAACGAATAATCAATTTATTCGCTCAAACGAGAATAAAATTATAAATAAAAATTATACGTGAATGAAGAGGAAGGAGCAACGTTTAAGATTCACACATTTATATTTACAAATAAATCTCATAATAAAGTGAAATTAACGAAAAATGTGTTAAAAATATTGCCGCCTCGGTTGCGTCAGTCCGCACAAGAGGCATTAATCGCTAAGAAATAATTAATTAAAGAGAATATCCTGCTAAAATTTATATGAGAAACTTTCTCAAGATTCCAGCTTTATGATACGATCTTAAATGTTCAGAAATTTTTAGTAATAAGTGAGTAATTAATTGATTTTCGATGTAGTATTTTTCGATGTTTAAAAAAGCGTTACTGCGCATGCGCGAACTTGGTAGCGCGTCTTCTCTATCCTTCTCGCACTATGTTGCTATCCTTATCTGTGACGTCACGAATACCTCCTTGCACATTCTGCTTTGCTAGTAACAAGTCGGAGCTTCCAGCATCCATCCGCGAGATGGCGCCACGGGTACTAAAAGTTTCGATTTATTTTCTTTAATTAACTTTAGGGCGAAATATATTTTATGTTTTTATATCTCGTATCAAATTCCATGCATATTTATGAATTTTTACGCATCACATATATCTGTATTATGATTATATTTTTGTTTTTTTCGTAATACGTGTAGAATACAAATATATATTTTTATATATTTTTAAACTTTTTACATTAAATCTATATTTTATATCCGTATATTTTCATATTCTTAAAATTTCCGATATATATATTTTCATATGTTTAACAATTTCAAGCGGATAAAATAGATAAAAAGTAAAATTGTAATTAGATTATTAAAAAAAAAAAAAAATAATTTAAACACACGAATGCATTAAACATAAATAGATATATACACACACCAAAATTAATCAATACCGATATAAATACAAATAAAATTCTAAAAAGAAAAATTTTACTTCGCCATTTCCTTCCCATTTCCTCACACTCTTCTGTTTCTCACTTCTGAAATCATGAAACTCGACGAAGAATTTTTCTCAACTACATCGTTCCTTTGATACGAAATGACGGATTATCATTACCCCTCGTAAATTCATTCGTAAAAATCCTTTTTCCCGAGAAATAATAAAAACGGAATAAAAAAAATATCCGAAATCGGACGCAAACAGAAATTCCATTAGATCTAGCATTAAAGCAAATAAAGGGGGCCGCTATATTAAAAATCCACGTCCCTTGTAAAAATACTAAAAACACCTATGTGTTTCAGTTTACCTATACTCGGAGGACGGGACGCGATGAGAAGTTCTCCGTTTCCTCCGATGTTCTGAAACGGATCGACCAATGGCCGGACCATCCCGGGTAAACGTAGAAAGACAAATTGGGCGGTCGAAGGCCCCTCGAGTTCTCAATTCGTCCTAAGTTAACACCTGAGCTAAGTCGGCTCGTTCTCGAATTCTCCTTTTTCTTTCCTCGCGCGAGAACCGAAACCGAATATCCACGCGTTTTTCCCACCTTCCAAAAAAGGGGGGGAGGAGGAGGAACTTACTTCTCTGGATAGTAATTCCCCGCGGAGAAAAGGGTTAATTTGCAATTTTACCGGTGGAACAAGTTTGCCCGGCCGGGTTTGGGGGGGGGGGAGGACCTCCTCGTTTTCAGAGGAGACTCGTTTTAACTCGAGCCAAGCAAACTGCTACTACGCGCATCCCCTTTGCGCTCTACGTGTTCGAGCGAAAGAAGGTTGTAACGTTGTTATAAAGTATTAAGGAGAAGGAGATTGTTTAAATTAGATGAGTGGATAGGTTTTTCTTCGATATTTTCGTTTAGAGAATTCATATTAGGTAAGAGTATTGTAAGAGTGTTGTTAGAAATTCAACGCCACTTTGAGAATTCTTCTTACACTCAACGATTCGATTGGTAATTTTTTTTTAACAGCAAGCGTGTAATACGTACGCCACTTTCAAGTACATCTCGTACGTGCTACGTAAAATATATATATATATATATTTTAAAGGTATTTTGTTTTGCAATCACTTTTTTTCCTCCACGACGTTGTTTTTATTACTACTCTCTTTTTACTGTTCTCTTGTTTTCATTGCCGCAATTCTTTTCTCATTTTTTTTCTTCTTCTTTATATCGCGCATAACTTCTTCTCTCCCTAGTTTTTTCTTTTTACTCTCGCATTGCTCGGGAATTCGCCTTTTCTTAAATACACGATTACTCTCAGAAGATTTATTCTCCGATCGATCACACGCGTTGTAACCAATGATCGAAATCGGTAGATGCAAAACGTAAAACGCGAGGAATGAAATTTTATTCGAAGTTTAAAGATATGGATACAACGCGTTTCAAAGGGGAACATATTTCGTTAAACGATATTTAAACAGCGATTCCTCCGTAAAATTAAATTACAGTACAGTTACCACAAAAGGAATGGAATCTTCTTCGGAACTGGCTTCCTTTTTCCCATTACTTATTTCCATTCATTAAACGCATCTCCATTCCCTCCCTAACCATCCTCCCTCCGTAATTGCAATCTTTCCTTGTCATCTCGACCATTTTTCCCCCCTCTTGCCGGAACACTTCCGCGTGAAATTCCCGCGCATTGTTCGAGAACCGCCGCGTATTTCCGGCTTCGCAGGATCTTGCGAATCCTTCCACTCGAAAGTGGAGAACGTTTTTTCCCCTCTCTTGCGCCGCTATCAATCCGTCCGGCCTTTTACAAAAGGACTCTTCCTTCTCTTCCACTTTATCCTTTTTTTCTTTACTCGCGATTAATCGGAAAACTCGCGTGTTTCAACTGGGTTCCAAAATTATTGGGTAAACGACAAGCGAGATAAAGAGGAGGAAAAAAGGAAATAGGTATTTTTCGAGGTATTTTCGTATCAAACGAAGCTCTTCTCGAGCTTAACTATTCTTTTATTCTTGGATATTTTGGGATGAATCGTTGTGGACTATTAATTGATTTTAGAAAGATCGTAGAAATTTTGGGATTTAAACAGTAATATATAAGCTCGTACGCAGTTTCTCTCTTCCGCGTTACTCTTCCCTTCTTCCCCTTCCCTCTTCCTTCTCTTCCACTTTATCCTTTTTTTCTTTACTCGCGATTAATCGGAAAACTCGCGTGTTTCAACTGGGTTCCGAAAATTGTAAACAACAAGCGGGATAAAGAGGAGAAGAAAAAGAGAAAATAGATATTTTTCAGCTTAACTATTTTTTTATTCTCGGATTCTTGGATATCTGGGACGAATCGTTGTGGGTTATTAATTGATACGTGGTTTTAGAAAGATCGTAGAAATTTTAAACGAAACGGTAATAGCTAAACAGTATAAGCTCGTACGTTTAATTCTGGCTTGCTCGTCACGAGTGAAATTCTAAATTTGCGATGCACGTTTAATATTGGACGATTATATATATATATATATTTATAATAAGGATGTTTCTCGATCGTGGATGTTATTCTTGAACGGAATGGAAGAAAAAAATATATATACGTGTGTGCGTGTATTCAGACGTGTAACAATGTATAATTAGTTTCACGATTATATCGGAAAATGGATTGTATTAATTGTAACATGGTGGAAAAATATTACGCAAAGCGAAAGGGTAAACTGGTATCAGGCTAAATATTTGAATTTCAGCGAGTATTAATATATCCGTGAGTGGTATGTAGCGTAGCATAATATTTGGTGATATCTAGAAACGCGGAATAATATCGCGTAATTGAATATCACTCCGTATTGATTAACCGAACGAATTTAAATTCTCCTTTGATAGTATATATACTATATCAAATACTGTTCGATTACGATCGATGTTCCTCTTATTTTCGTTAAATAGCCAATCACCGTGGGAAGATATATACGAGACAAGGGAATTTCGAATATTTCGTTCGTTTCGAACGAAAACGATCGAATAATTTTGAAAATTATTGGAAAATATCAGTATCGAGTATTTCGAATAAAAGTTTCAAATATAGTGAAATGAAAATTACTAGAAAGTGAATAGAGTTTCGAAAAATTTGATCAACACGTTAAATCATGTTGCCGAAACAGAAACGTCAAATATTTAAAAATCCTTAAAAAAGGACTTTACTTTTCTCCTATCAATTGGATCAATGGAAACGAACGAGAAATGATAGATAATCAAGGAAGAGGAAGGGAAGAGAATATTGGAAAGATTGGACGCCTTTTAGTGAGAGCACGGTCGATTAATTCGGAAATCGCGTGGATATTTGCATAGCTGTCGGGATCGTCTCTCTTTCTCTCTCTCCTTCGGTTCACAATGCGAGAAGAAAGATGAAAGAAGGGGTAAGCGTGGTGGCGAAGACACACACCAAGTGGCCGCACTGCCTCTGGAAGAAGCCTTAACCGCATTTCCTGTCCCATTTTCGGTAGTGGCCCACATCGTGGAAAGCTACAAAAGCCGATTCCACGGAAATAAACCGCCAGAAGGCTGACTAAGCCGTCAGAAAGAAAGGAACGGAGTCGCAGGGGTGATGGTGGGGTTGGCGCGGTGGTGGTGGTGACTCGAACTTTTTAACTTTACCACCGTCGCGAAAAATCTGACCTCCTTTTTCCATATCCCTCTTTTCACCGCCACCGTTGAAAATCTACCAGATATCAATTGAAGAAAGAATAAATCGTATCACGATTCTACGGATATTTTAATAGAGTAGAAATTTGAAGATGGACGAGGAAGAAAGGAAGGATTATGAAACG